CTCTGCTTTTTTGCTTGTTACATTGTAAGTTGTTCACTAAGTCTATTGTGAGACTGGCATAGTCATTTCCTTCATTATAAAGTTGTGGGGAGGAACATGGGATTACATCAAAAGTACTATTTCATGACTTTAAGTAATGTCAGTATCATCAAAGCACCTCATGAAACACAACTGCAAATAAGTATGTTCTCAAAAACCCTGTTGAGAAGTATATTAACTCATCTGTCTTATAGTCTTCTTCTTTAAGTAAATTATATACATATGTATTACAAAACAGCAGCTTTTAAATTTATATTTTGCCAAATACAAATCAATAGAATATATCTCTTACGTGTATTATTATTTGTTACAGCTTAATCCACTGTAAACAGTGTGCACTAGAAGGAAACTGGGATGAAGACATGGACGTACATTACTATTAACCTAGAGACCAAGCTGGTTTACACTACCTCAGAAACCTTCAACGCATTTAGAGTACCCAAAGGGTAGGAGATGAGGGAGGTACAGAGATGAGATGAGCCTGTTAGAGACAGACACAAGACAGAGCAAAATAAAGAAATATAAAGATGAATGACAAAGTTACATACATGTGTAACAATACATTTATTCATGGGAATAGAAAACATGAAGAAAGAAGGGCTAAATACTTAGAAAATGTTGATTAGGTGAGGTACACTTCAAAAACATGAAAAGTATGCACATAATTAAACTTGGAGAAAAATTAGCATGCCTGAAAATAATTAATGTAATATAAGAAATAATAAGTTTAAACACATCACACTACAAATATGTTTGCTGTTAAAATGTAGTCTTAACATTCCAGTTCAATAATGACAATATAGCCTCTGAACAGATCCATCAGTTATGTCAGCAATGTCATCTTGATTTTCTTGGAACAGTGGAAAGTATCGACTTTAGTAAACAATGTTTAATTCTTTCATATACATGAATCTTTTAATTTGTTTTCTCCCAAGTAAGTCTAAGAATTATTATTCTAGATTTATTTTTTTCTTCAAGGGTAGAACATTATGAAGGATACATTTTAAATCCTGCGTATTTTATTTATGAAACCACAGTATTTAAAAACAAGAAAGCAAATAAATATCTAAACACGTAAAAACATAATGCATCTGAAGAGAAAAATAAGTGATTATAAGACAATAAATCTGATTTCCAAAACGGTAAATAAAAATCATGCTCAGTACATATGTATACATTGCTTTAAGGCTGCAGTCTAAAGAGTGAACTGATATCCCACAGTTACAAATCTAAATGTTCTTTGGTAACCTATGGCTTTGAACGGTAAGTTACTTTCTGTTCTGTAACTCCTTTTGAAATCCTAAATAAAAAATACAAATGAAAAATATTCGGATTAGGAGGGAGAAAATACATGTGAAGGAAAAGGAACAGAGTTAGAAATTATTATTATAATAAAGGACAGGGTGGAATAAAGACATCCTATACTTAAGGAAACTAAGAATCTCAACTTATTTTCAAAAACAAAAGTTATCACAAGGGGAATAATATTTTATAATAGATTTGTAATCCAAATGTCTCAACATGTAATTGTAATACCTAAATAATACAGATACTGATATATTTTGCTTTCTAGATCATGTAACATGAAAGTCTTATTTTTAGTATTAGAAACCCTTCCTAGATTCTATGAATTATTTGAATAACTGGATATATTTATTTTGAGTGCTTTCCACCCATACCCTTTTGAGGTTCTAATGTCAAAGTAGATATTATTTTTCTATTATTTTTGCTGTTGTTTTGCCAAATGTAACTGTCACTTTTTATTGAAACATCAGAATCAGGCATTTAATTCTCACAGTTTTGATACTTAATGAAAAGTGAAAGTTAAACACAGCTTGGTGGCATTAAAAATGCATGGTGAATCCATACTATCCTACATCTTAGCCCTGAAGAGAATGCAGAATACCAAGAAGAAAATTATACAAAAAAGCAAACTAGTGTATTTAGAGGTGAAATTAACAAATTATCACAAATCATTCAAAAAGGTATGGACAAGAGAATGCAGACTTGAGGAGGAGAGCAGCAAGGAAACATACTAACTTGTTAATCTGATCTATAAAATGGGGCAGATTCACATTTCAAATGCAGTATCTGAATGTTTAACCCTTGGGAGTACTACCAAGCTAGCATACTCAAGGAACAATTCAATTAAGGAAGTGGAAACCTTATTCTATATGACTGTTTCGACATCTTAACATAAGCATAAGTTTGTTTTTTAGGGAATTTCAATTGTTTTGCCTCTAAAGTGAAAAGCACCTTAAACAAGAGAAGGGAACTTATTTCTATTCCCATACTTGGGAAGGAAAATGTGTTCTGTTTTCAAGTTTCTAGAAAATCCTTGCTTTATTTAGTTCCTATTCTATAATCTTAAAAGAAAAAGTCAATCTATTTGCATAAAATATTTTACTAGAGATTTTTAAAAATAAAATTATTTTTACCTTTTCAAGATATTTTAAGTCCTTTTGCATTTTTCTGTATTACTGCACACAAAAAAATTAAATCTCCATTGCATATTTGAAACAAAATATCAAATTTATATTTATGGCCATTAATTTCAATTTGTTTATTTATCTAGAGTTTGTAGGTTTAGAATTCATAAGTAGATTGAGAACCTTGGTAGTAAAGGTCTTTTGCACTTTTTTTTCCACTTTTGGGTAGTAGATTTATTTCTAAATCGGTGAAGTCTATACATATTTTCAGAATTCTCAACACACATAATTATGCAAAGTGTGTGAGGAAGCAAAACAGAGTCATAAGGAGGTGTTATAAGCCTAGGCTTAGAAAACCACTTCTGACAGCATACTCTACACAACAATACTTAATTGGGTATGTGAATCTTATTAGAAATGTTTCCAAGTTTTTATTACCCTTACGTATGCCTTGAAAAGATTTCTATGTGTTCAGATAACGGTTGATTGTACAGATGGTGACAGAATCACTTCAGAACCACTCAGATTCTAGTTTTTGGGAAAACTAAGCCATTTCCTAAATAAGACAAAAAGCAGGCTCTCAGAAAACCTTGTATCTATATGTAGACTTGTGATTCACGACTGTAATTCTATCACCTCTTCTTACGTTTAATAGAAGTCTAAAGTAGTAACAGTGTGTCTAGGTCTGTATAATATTAAAATAAATGGTTAATCCAAAAATTCCATACCCTCTTCCCTCAAAAAAACAAAATACAATGAAATTTTTGTATAATAAACATTATCCCCAATGAAATTTGAGGTATATATTTTAACTAGTTCACAATCCAAGATCCTTGCCTCTTTGAAGAAACATGTATCTTTCTTATTGACATATATCATATTATCTGATTTCCAGAAAAACTGATGAAATTAAGGCAAAAGTTCATTTTTATAAAATGTGCTTGCCTTCTTAGAGAGTTTGTTCATAAGGTTTTTGGAATTATGTAGACTTAAGCCCATAGTCAAAATTAGTAAATATCTGAGTATGTTTTGTTAACATCACTATATCAAATAAATACTAGCATTGTAAGTGTAACAAAAACACTACATTTATAATATGTCTCTCAGATTATCAAAGCTTCAAGTTTTATCATTTTATATATCACATAGTTTAAAGCAATTTGTGATTTAGAATGATTTGATTCAAAGCAAGTTATCCATCCTCAAAATGTTCAGTGGAATCTACAAATATAAGTTGGTACTCATAACATTTTCAGTGAATTTAATATATGCACAACTACAGACTCTTCTATATAACAACAGTGATTATTATCCAGTCATTGAAAGGTCTTAAAAATCAAATGAGCATTTCAAAAATAATTTTGCCATTAAGAACTGGTTTTATATCCTGAGATAAAATTACACATAATCACCTTCATCTATTTAATAAAGCATTTCTTCTATATTTGTTTGTGTATATTTCATTCGGTAGTATGAAAACTGGTAAAAATTCCCATATGAAGCAAAGTCTGGAGAGAACTCATTTTCATACATTTGTATTTAAGGCATCTCTGAAGCTTTTGAAAATCAGAGTGAAATTACATGATATTCCATGCTGTCAATGCATGTGCTTTAGTCCATTTGTGGAAATCAGAGTCTTTCCAGTAAAGCATTTCAAAATACTTTTCATTAATTTTTATCTTTTAGAACTGGAAACTTTTATAGCTGATGGAAGTTTAGCAAATTTTTACCATCTTCATCTTAATTTCATTTTCCTTCATGAGACTAATGGAAAGGACAGATGATAACAGGAGATTTCTAAGCAACTTCCTTAGTGTCAATGATGAAGGGTTAAATGGATTCAAGGAGAGAAAAAAATACAGGAAAGATAAAACAATCTGAAGCAAAATCATTGTAAGTCATGATTGCTGGGAGATAATGGTGGTCATCTGTATTAGTATATGAAGATGGCAAGTGGAGTGGCTCCATGGATGGATGTCGAAGATGTCGTACTGTCAACAGCACTGAGCCCATGAACTGGAATCAGACTTAATATACAGAGAGCCACAAACAATGCACTCGCTGGTCTTTTCAGTCATTATCACTAATGAAATTTGTTGACTATGAGCAACATGAAATCACTATCTTTTTTCCACAAAGACTAGATGGTGACCATTATTCCTTTTAACCCAGGACCATTTATGGCATAAGTCAAAACATTGCATTACATTTTCAAGCTATGGGACAAGCTATGTTTGGTATGCAATAGATGCTCCATTTATGTTTGCTGCATTTAAATCTGTAAGTTCTTATTAAATATCAGGGATTTTTTGCATTCTTTCATTAGCTTTTCAGGAAATCTAAATTCTTTGTGAAAATTTCTACAATTTGATGCTTGATAATAAGACTATATATGTATATGAAAAGAATTCTATCACAGTCTGAATTTGAATAAATCAGTTTCAGATAAAACATGTTTTAAAGGATTTAGAAGCACTTTGATATTTCAGAAACCTATAGCAGACATAAAGAGCACAATAAAGAAACATTTACCATTTTTGTCCATGGAATTTGGTTCTGATTGTTTCTTGCCAATATCAGCAAAGGAACGAACAATGGGAATCCTGTTGGTGAGTTTTTTCTGATTCTGGTGGTGATGCTGTTTCATCAGTGCCTCATGGACCCTGTGGCGTACATCTTCATTCAGCTGACCTGAGCTCACTTGTTGGTCAAGGACCATATCTGTGAGAAAAGGCAGGAAGAAGATGAGCACAGCTTTTCTGTCGTACATGTGCCACCAGTGAGCCAGAGTCCAAACATGCAAACTCTATATTATTCTTCTTAAAATAGGAATGACTTCCTTTAAAAATATCTAAGAATGATGTTACAAACAGAAGTTTATCTTCTTGTATAGAAATGTTGCACAAGAAAGATTTGGACAATTGTTCATTATAAGCCTTTCAATT